CGAACCTTCAGTAACAGTAATAAATGACAGCAATAGTACATTCATGTAGTTGTAAAAAGCATGATAACATATTAAGTAATCCAAAATATTCAGAATACGTTACTCTCATCGAGTAACATAACGGAATACGTTACAGAATACATTTTGGGGCATGTATTCTGTAATGGAATACATTTTAAAAGTAACCTTCCCAACACTGTATACACATCATTAAGGTTTCTTTATTATCCTTACAATATACTCATTTAAAAAAAGAAGAAGCACAAAACATTAAACAAAACAAAATTTAAAATTGTATTTTTGTCAGTTATGACCGCTATCTATCCCTAGTAATCGATAATAATTACTGTCTTTTTTTTAATAGTAATCAGTGTAAAATACCTCTTTGGTTTTATATATCCGACTGAGGTAAGAGTAAATTCTTTCCAAAACTGAAACTGGTCAGGCAGGGGCTTTCAGCTGCTGCACTGTTTGACATTTTTACAGGCTTGCGCTGCTCTATAATGGTGTAAATGAAAGTTATAAAAAATAAATTTGTTCCTTAACCAGCTCATTCCGTAGGTTGCAGCACCAGGAACGTCATTCAGACAGATTAAATTGGATTTTAAATATGTCTTTATCTGTCAAACACAAAGGGTAAAATAACAAAGTGTGACTTCCAAAGGTTATCTGTTTTATGTCTTGGAAATTGATACGCTTTTTAAATCTTACAGAAATTTACTTTGCTTGCATTTAAACGTGCTATACCCCGATGAGGTAGATTCTGTCCTATTTATCATCAAGTCGACTCAGTTAAGGCTTCATGCACTCAACTTTCTCATTAGCCATGCTAGAAACAATAATTTTCATGTGCTGTGAGTTTCATTTCTGACCTATGCCTCCACATCGCTCCCTTCTGCTTCATTTGTCTTGTACAGGTTTAATATTCCCCTCTCTCTCTCTCTGCCCACCTGTGTGAGTACATCTTTTAACAGGAATGCAGATAAGAATGTATACTGCTGTGAACAAACAGAAGAAATTCACTTTGAGGATGGGTTGGGGGGGTATGGTTGTGTATTTTCAGGGCACCAAAGCACTGGCGGTTCCCCTGGTAACCAACACTTCAATACTGCGGCTGAACCTGCGAGATAATTGGATGGAAGGCATGGGTGGAGCTGCTATAGCTGAGATGTTAAAAGGAAATTGCTACATTACAGGTGGTTTTACTGTGATTTACTGTGATTTACTGTGGACTCAACACGTTGTGTTCTTTTTTTCTTTAAACTTCTTAATGGCAAAGGTGGGACCCCAACATCAACATATTCAACATTTTCCGCCAATAAATATAAAACACTTACCATCTCAAGTTTCCCTTTTATATCTGTTCTTTCTCATATTGCACTAGTTGTATGTGCAGTTTGGAACATGAGAAAACTCTAAGGAGAAGAACACCTATATATGGTTCCTCTACATATCATTATACCGAAGCCTTAAAGTCCCATAAGGTGAAATTTATCCTATACACAAGATAATTGTAAGAACAAATCATTATACTGTGCAAGAAATTTCAATTTCCTGTAGGAACATGTTACTTTGTTGCAATTTATAATAAGAACTTGTGCAAACAACTTCAGATGCACACAGTCACATGTTAGAGACAACACAGCTAATCAAGTTTTAACTCAGGAATGTCATGTTGTCTTTATGTATTTTTTACATTACATATTATATATTTGTCTGATAATTTCCACATTTTGTCTGATCAGTTCCTAACAACATTTAATTTTACAATAATGGATCACACCGCAGTGGGGAATATATTTCATCACAGTAGATGTCTTACTGAAAGTGCAGTAACTAGTTTACCAATATAATTCCTCCATTGTTATCTTCTTCAATGCTATGTGTCAACATACTGCAGACCAGCTAAACTTTACTGAACTTTACCCCCACAAAGGTTGATTATCTCATTAATAAATTTACATCTTCACTGGATATGATTCCAGATACAGTAGAAAATGAAAAAGCATCAAATCACAAGTATTTGATTCTCTGGTATAACTCTCAAAAATGCACCATAAAAGAGATAACTTGTAAGCTGGAGCGGAAATTGTCTCACCAATTTAGAAGATCATCATTTAGCAAATAGTTTGTTGCTCTATAAAAATAAATAAATAAAAAATCCACAAAGCTAGAACATCTTCATCATTGATTGAAAAAATAAGAACATCTGAGTTGGCTTCAGTAATTCCTCCAAATCATCAATGTGTTTTTTTTGACCTAAGGGTGGTGCTTGAAGAAAACTAGCTTATTGGGATTCATCATTAGAGCAGTCTATCCAGTCTGTTTCAGTAAAAGCCAAAGCATGTTGCAGCTGCTGCTGGTGCTAGATAAAATATTAGGGATCAGGAGAAGTAGTTATAATTCAGTCTCGGGGAGGATAGGAATGCCTGTTATCTTCAACCAAATTGCTGGTCCAGTTGATTTGCTGCAGTTGAAATGCACATTGTCACTATATATTGAATGCATTATTTCTCAGTTACTTTTGTGTAAATAACTTTAAGTAGTATTTGTCTTTCCAAATGCATTTTCAGATGGTGATAAGCCATCAAAAAATCCAACTTAATTCATTTTTAATTTAAAAATTAGTTGATTAACTTAAATAGCATGCAATAGCTAGGAAGGTCATTTCAGACACATTGCTGTAGTAGTGACAGTATCTAAAAACAGTGATTTATTTTTCAGATTCAAAAGCTTTATCAAATGCACTCCCCAGCTAAACCTATCGCATTTAAACTGAATTTTCCTCTACCTCCTCCCAAAGGAAATTTACTCCAAAAATAGAGACAGTATGTGAGAAATATGTGAAATTCAGAAAAAATAAAGCAGAGGAAATGATTCATCTTTTTTTGTGAAATACTGTACTGCAATAATGACAATTACCAAATGCTCAAAAACATTTTGAGAATGCTATTTGGTCTTTTTGGAACCTTCTTGTGTTTAGTTTACTTGCCACTTTTTATTGGTCTCTTTTCACCTTGCATGATGTTTCAATTTGTGTGTCAATCCCAGAGGTGGACCTGTCCAATAACAATCTAGAGGTTTATGGAGCCAAAGCCATAGCTGGTATGCTTAAAGAGAACAGCACCCTGGTGAGCCTCATTCTGTCAGGAAACCATTTCACAGACCGGTCCACTGAACACCTCTGCCCAGCGCTGATCACCAACACCAAACTACAGCACCTCGACCTCAGCTACAATGCTCTGGGGGAGAGTGCAGGTAGCAAAGTAATTAGTTTTGTAAAGGTCTCATAGTTTCTATAAGGCTGTAGCCTTTCAAAGATTGAAACAGTACCCATGACTCCAGTTTTTATTAAGATGATATTAAAGATTTGTGCAAGAGATACAGTTTTTCACATATTTTCCATTAACAGCACCAGATAACTGAACTTCAGGACCCAGAAATTATATGTTGCATCAATAAATCGCAAAAGACATTAAGGCAGTGTGGGGAATAGGATGTAAATCCTTTTTCTTTGCTTTTCATCTTAATTTGGGCCTTTAAAAATATCTGCCCTCTGATTTCCTGATTTCCACGAGAAACCAGCAGCAGAGATCAGAAGGCACAGACAAGATCCATTACTAATGTTGGCCTAAGGTGTAGCTGCTAGTTTTAATTTTGGTTAGCCAGATAGGATTAAAGGGTTAACTGGGCAAACTGGAGAGCACAGTCCAAAATATTAGTGTAGACTACTATAATTTCCTATATAATTGTCCTGTAATTTCACTTACAGTTTAGATAAAACCATTGAAATTATAAGGCACACAACTATTTAAATACACTCATTGGTGCATAGTTTCTCTTTCCATCTTTTGAAGATATTTTTTTAAAGACTAGCAAAATAATTTATTTAAGGATTTTATTGCCTAAAATCAACGTTATTCTGTGTTTACTTTTCTTTTTTATCTGTACATAAATGAGTAGAACAAAATTGATATAGGATTTTTAAGGCCAAGAGATAACAATACCGAAAATTGTATATACACATTAGCCAGTATTCGTTTTTCTTTCAGACACACAAAACATAAACAGATTTCCTAGCATTTGTTATCTATAGTTATTTGTCTAGAGTGCCCTCTGTTGGACAAACTATGTAATGCCAGTACTCATAACATGGCTAAAGAATGTTTCTCCCACTACTTACTTGTTTTTTTTAATCACACATTATAAATACTGATATCTGTAGATCAGCAAGTAGTAATATCGGCCTTTGTATCAGCCCACCCATAAATTGGTCGGATACTATGAATGATTATTTTCAATATGCCAATAGCTGCTGAAGTCATTGTATATGCTATTTTTGCTCTCTTTTCCATTTATAATTAATGTACAATAAAGGCCTGTGAAGCGACTATTACTGTTAAGAGTGCAGATTTATTTAACATTAGGACTATGCTGTGTGTAAGCATGTAAGCAGAAGGGGGGTGGGAGAGGGGTTCTGCTGTCATAAAAGATTTTGCCATAATGGTGCAGCCTTATCTCCAAGCAGTCATAAGACAGCATGCGGCAGCAGATTGTGGCATTCAAAGGTCAAGCACATTTCGCCTTCATTAAAACCTCTTTGAATTATCATGCGGATGAGCTTTGTGACAGGTACCTTGTGGAAGAATGGCAGACCAGAGCAGTAAGCATCTGATATAGATAATTGAAAATAAATCTACATGAGGGAAAGGGGACACCGCCATATCTTATCGCTATGATTCATCATTGCAGACGACATCTATTCTGTCTTCCTCAATGCTTCTGCTGATATGTCAAAGTACATTTTCATGTGTTTTAAGCGCACTCGAGCATGTACCAAAAGTGTAGCAGTCAAACACACTGACATTCATGCTATGGCATTATGGCTTTTCCAGCTGAGCACATTATCTTGAGTGATTATGAACCACCGAGTGTCATGCAGTTTTTTATATTTATGGAAAATGTCAGTGACATGATGAGGGGTATATATTTTTGTCCAGGATAGTTGCCTCTATAGTCGTCACTCAGTAAAGCGTTAAGGGAATATACTGGAGATGATACAGTGTTTTGAAGAGCAGAGTTTAAAAAAAAAAAAAGTTTTTCTGACTATGTATAATAATTCATAAACATGTCTAAACTATCTTGTTACCATTTTTACACATTATATTATATTATATAATGTGTATCTAATATATTACATTAGATAAACATTATAATTATTCATGAATAATTAATAAACAGACTCACTTTTTCTAAACAAGCCTTTATATGAGGATGAGTACATTTCATTGTTTTAAAAATGCAATAATGCAACTATTTATTTTATCAGATTGCCCTGAATTATTTGTATGTTCATTTTCTATTTTCACAAGGGGAACACCTGGGAGATGCTCTGTCTGAGAACACCGGGCTGAGATCGCTAAACCTGGCATGGAATTGCATTCGACAAAAAGGAGCAGCAATGCTGGCCAATGGTCTTGGGGTAATACACTTGGACATGAATGTGTAAACCCTAGATTAGCTTTCTGACCTCATGCAAGACAAAGAAGATCTAATGGTACAATGAAAAATAAGACTAAAGTACATTGATTAGTTGAAGCCATCAAATAATAAATTATCCTAAGTTAAAATAGCGGTATGTCAAATGAAAGTGGCTAAAAATATCACATCTGGTGTTGGGCATAAATAATTTACCAGTCAAGTAAAAATATTTAACTTCATGTGCATAACCAAAAAATTTATACTTGAATCTAGTAACCCTCCATTTTCTAACTCCACATCCCCGTTACATCAGATTTTGCACAACTTTCCCTAAAGCTATGAAAGGCTTTATATAACTTCCTCATATCTGCATTTGTAACCAATGAAACCAGTAAAAAAAACAAAAAAAAAACCGTGAAAGTAAGTCCCTCTTTAAAATGGCCTTGAACTGAAAAATTGGGAATCCAATAAAAGGAAAGTACAAAAAAACGTTTGTGAACTGTACCTTTGGCCACCCACCTTTAACAATATATTATACATAAAGCGATCTATTTATCTGAATCGATAATGACTGAAATTTTGGCTAAGTGGAGTGGAAACTCCCAAACCAGGGATACTTAGCTGGTAAAAGAATTATAACAACATCATAATGATGCTACACTGACATCAAAACTTATTAAGATTAATAATATGGTAATTGCTAATTGCAGACGACATCTCATATCTTGGCTGACTCCCTTATCCTGCTTTGTGAAGCAGCCCCCCAGGCAGGTATTCATCAAGCATCTCCCTGCAAGAGAAGCTATACAGTAGTTTTCCTTTCCCTGTCTTATTGACCAACATGGCCAAGTTGACCCTGATCACTGGCAGGTGTGATTGATTCACACCCTGGGAGGGATTTTTAATTCAGAATCTATACTGCACTGTCATTTTTAAAGTAAGATAGTTCTTTTGTTGAGATTTAATCTTGTTAGAGAACTTGTTCAAGTTGTTCCTTTAAGTATTGATATATTCTTTTCTGTGTTTCAGGAAAATGTTTTTCTTAGAATACTGGATCTGTCATTTAATGGCTTTGGGAAAGAAGGAGCCAGTGCTTTAGGACAGGCTCTTAAAGAGAACAATGTTTTAGAAGAGTTAAATATCAGGTATGTGTCTCTGTTGTGTTACTATCGAATGATCAGATTAATGAGTGATCATTTTCACAAATTAGAATTCACAATCTTATCTTTCACATTGTTTATAAACTTCCTGGCGAGTTCAAACTTCTCTTCCAGACTGATTCTAATAGATCTTAAATGGTGATTACCCTTATTCTTAAAGAAAGAAATCAAATAATCCAGTTTCCTCTACTGTTTGCTTAACTTTTTTAGTAAAACAGAGCTTGCTTTACAAATTCACTTGGATGAATAATACCATTTAAAAAAGTAACACTTTATGATTGCTTCCCTCACACTCCAACACACACTCTTGTTTTCTGCTTTTGTTTCTCGCCACAGTAACAACCGAATACCCCCTGAAGGAGCGATCCACCTCGCCATGGGCCTCAAAGTAAACAAGACAATCAAATCCCTGAATGTAAGCTGCTGAAAAGAGATTGGTTCTAGCTTCACGAGCAATGGGGGGCATCAGTGGATAAAATAGGATAAATAAATGGATCAGTGTACTTCATTTTAATGTAAATGCTCAAGCTGAATTGTCAGGTGCTCAGCTCAGCTGACTGAAGAAGTTATAGAGAACATGCTAAATTGAGTTAAATTCTGCCAGTTGGATACTGACTGCTTGTGCGCTCCTGTGTTCGACATTTTTCATAGCATAGAATTCTGGAAGTGTTCCTTAGTTCAGTTTCCCTGATAGAAACCCTGTCTGTTTTTAAAGGCAGTGCTGCTCTAAGATACTCCTTTAATCATTTTCCTGACCTGTACTCAGTTTTTCCAGATGTTTCTTTTTAGTTAGCTTTTTTTTAGCCTTTTGCTACTCCTCTTTGGAGACGTGTTGCTAAATTAAAAATGGCATAATATTCTTCATGAAATAGTAAAATGTCTTGGTTTAAGCATTTGAATTGTTTTCTATCTTCTACTGTGCATAAAATATGAGTTTATGACATTTTTACATTTCATTACATTTTTTTGCTTTCTGTTTTATTTTGTTTCTGTTAACATTTTCATTTTGGAATTGTGTTTGCATCTATACTGACTTCATTATTTGAAATGCTGTGATGGTGGTGGTGTTAAGAAGGTGAATTTGTATCTGCTACTATTATTTCAGCTGTATTTTTCCTTGTATATTGTTTAGATTGACTCTGGAGAATTACATAATGCAAATTTTGAATTAAAATAATAATAGACCAAAACCATCCCAGGAATAAAGGAATAAGCTGGCATTTGTGGACATACCATAGATATAAATGAATGTCTACCTTTACCAGCTGGTTAGTTTAGTGGAACATAAACACTGAAAAATAGTGGCTCTGTGATTACACAGTCTGCCTACCACTGTCTTTGTCTAATCTGTAGAAAAACTAAAGCGTAAGGAAAAACAGTTTCCAGTTTTATGGGAATTACAAGTACAACTTTCTTGGCATTAAGCGTTATAACAGCAAAGACTCCAGGAAGTTATTGGTTCCTTCCCAGAACCCACATAAACAGCTAATTATCATTTTTACAAAAAAATTGCATTCAACTAGTTAATTATTGAATTTCATAAGTGCAGAACCACGCTAAGTTAATTGACTAACTTCACGGGCGCTGAACAGATGTGAGAAGTGTACTGATTTTGTCATTTAAATCTCCACCAGAATGAGAAAACATGATAAACTATTTTTTGTACATAGCTTCACTGAGGAGATATCATGATATGAAGGGTAGAAATATTTTTTTAAAGTTAATAATAGGAAAGTTCTTCATCACTTGCCTATCCAGAACATAACAATTTTTGCTGTTTTTTTCTTGTGTACTGTGTGTAACCAGATTGGTAGGAACCCCATCCTGAATGCTGGATGCTATGGGATCCTTAAATCTGTACAGGACAACCCAGATTCAGCCTTGGAGACTTTAGACTTTTCAGTAAGTCACACGTCTTAGGTCCTTGACATTTTTTCCAAGTGTTCTCTTATTCACTAGTTCCTCTGTGTATCACTTTCTCTAGGACATCACAGTAAGCCGGGATTTTGAAGACTTGTATACAGCAGTGAAAGAAATATTCCCTGCGCTTAGAGTAAATCATGGGGGCCGCTTTGGCACATTCAGCAAAGCAAAAGCTTGAAAAGTGTTACTGTAATTGCTGTACTTTTATGCCAGCAAAGATGGAAGAAATCTTGTCAAAGCCCTATGGACGTTTTCATCAACAGATAAACCAAAGGATGCATGCCTGCAAAAATATAACTTTTAAAAAGATGTCTTTTTTTTGTTGTTAAAGAGCCATGAGAGCATATCCTTCTGAATAAAATGCACTGTGAATAAATAAAACTTCTTAAATACCCAATCAATTGAAAATAAAGGCAATTCAGATGCTCATTTTCCAGTAGAAACACCATGTGTGTAGTGTTTAAAACAAATTTATTTGATGAAGTCATAGAAAATAGGCATAAAATAGAGGTATTGAGTATGATTCTTTTTAGATATGATCTGATTTGATGTTATATAATGTCAGTGGGTAGAATGATGGAGAGGATCAGAGAGCACTGTATTGTGTATGAAAAGAAGTGAAAGTGGGTTGCACAAAAAGGATTTAAGTACTGCATGACTAGTCTAATAGAAAAACCAGCTTTGAAAGAACAGTCCACTATTAGATAAGAGACCTGTTTACTGAGGCAGGACAACTCGAGCTGTGTTAGATACATACAGTGAGCTGTCATTTGTATGCATGTATCTCTCCCACACACCAAAATGATCTTAAGCCAAGGTATTTTATTCCAGAACACTGTATGTAATATGTAATGTATATGCATTTGAATACATTTGACAACTAATTGGTTTATTTTGGGGCTTTTTAATAGCTTGTAGGGATTTGGGTCATCTTATGACTACGTTTGCATATTTTTTCATTAACAAATAATCAATACTTATTACTATTACTACTTTAGTTACATATGTACTGTATCATAGAACGCAATAAACCCTCTGATCATTTGGCTGCATGCATCTCTTCCATACAACATAAAATGATTTTGAAATCAGTCGAACTATTGCATATGTGATAAACACTTACTGGCACAACTTCACCTCCTTTCAAAGTACATGGAGAGGAGCAATAGTGTAGAGATTGAAGCTTTTGTTGGGGGTCACAGACAGAAACCCATAAATAATAAAGTTGTTCTTCATACAACAAGTATTGCCACCGGAGTTTCAACCTCTTTACAGTTTGTTAGGTGCACCTGTTCAGTTGCTCTTAATGCATACACCAACTACATGGCAACACTTAGCTATGTAGACATGGTCAAGATGACCTAGTGAGGAACAAACCAACCAACAGGATGAAAAAGAATGGGGATTTAAGTGTTTTTGGTATGGTTGTTCGTGCCAGACAGACTAGAAACTACACTGGAATATTTCTGTATAACCTAAGGATTTCAGAAAGAATGGTCAGGAAAAAGAGAAAACGTCTCATGAGCATCAGTTCTCTTGGGGAAAAAACCATAAAACTGAGCTATGCAGAAGAGCGTCTAAGAATTGCATAACAAGTTAAACCTTATGGACTACAGCAGCAGATGACCTCACCAGATGCCACTCCTGAAAGCACAAAACTAAACACCAAAATTGAACTAAAGATTAGAAAAACATTGTCTGGTCTGAGAGTGTGGCATATGCAACATGAAAGCAATCTTGCCTTATATCAACGGTTCAGGCTGGTGGCAGTGTTGTGGAAGATTTGGACCCCTTATTTCCAAATGAGCACCAGCAGGTGGTAAAGACTCCCAAAAAACCACACAGGCTATTGTTGCTGACCATGTTCATGCATTTATGTAGGGTGACCATATTTTGATTTCCAAAAAGAGGACACTTGGCCCAGTCACGAAGAACTTTAAGAAAACTTTAACATATTTAAATGATGCCTTCTCTGTGCTGTTATGTGAATGGTGAAATAAAAAATGTCATATAGTCTTTTACAAGTCAACAAGTGCAAAAAAAAGTGGACGGTTGGTCATCCTAATTTATGACCACAGTGTACCCATCTTCTGATCGCTGCTTCCAGCAGAACAATGTAAAATATTACAAACTTTATATAATCTCAAACTGGTTTCTTGAACGTGACAGTGACTTCACTGTACTCAAAAGGCTTCTACAACCACCACATCTCAATCCAGAGCACCTTTGAGACTTGGGGAATCAGTAGGTCCACATTACCCATGTGCAGCCGATAAATCTGCAGCAACTGTGTGATACCGTCAAGGTGTACCAAACAAAGTGGCTGGTGTAATGTATATTTCATTTTTAATAATCCTGAAATACAGGGCAGATAAGTACCTCGATAATTATTAACTTGTGACTATAGTTTTATTGTATGCGTTTAGTTCTTCATTTAAACGCATATATCATTTAGAGAACAACATACGCTGGTCTACTGGATGTTAGATAAAACACTGATCTTTTGGATTAAAAACGTAGTGTGTGGCGTAGGATCAACTAATTGGGTCTGATCGATTGTGCACGTGCACTGGCTCGCTCTTTCACGTGCGTTTTTCAGTCTGTTGCTAGCTGACTCAGTAGCTTTAACGTGACTAGCGGTCACATCACACACACACACACACACAGAGGTAAACATTAACCAGCACAAGTTGTTTGCGTGTTAAAGAAACTTTTTGCTGTAAAGAAGAACATGGCGACAACTAGGTCTGTTCAGGCTAAAGGATATTTGTTGTACAGGTAAGCTATTTCTGTCAATCTGCACGGAACCAGCAGGTAAACCAGTTTTTGCAGATATAGGACCCATTTAAATAAATGAATTGTTAAAGCAGCAAATGGCAAACGGTTAAACATTATTTTTCGCAATTCAATATCTTTTATATGTTTTGCTCATGTGTAAATGTTTTCAGGCATATTGCATATGGATATATTGTATCTCTACATTATGTTCCTATGATACGTTTATGTTTTTCAATCATGGTTTGATCACTTGGAGGACCTCTGAACTTTGTCCTGTCTGAACTTTTTGGGTTACGTAACCACCACTAGCATAACTGGGTCCCAACAAACTGAACATGGGGCCGATAGCATGTTGTGTATGACACGTACTCATGATCAGATGTCTCTGTTTATGTTGGACAGCACAGCTCTCCCCTTTTCTTTTCTTTTTCTTTTTAATCCATTGTCCCACATATTGAGCCAGTGCCCCACTGAGAAATCCTAAGCTTTGCTGATTTTGGTAAATATGGTGGAAAGTACCTCAAAGAAAATAAAGTGAGTTTATTCTGGTAAATACAGTTTTTGTCTGGATGCAATTTTGGATTTTTTTTAAATTTATTTTAAACAAGGGAAAATATAGCGTGTGGTGACACAGCATCTGTGTGTCATAATTGGCAAAAATGGTCAGATATTGCTCAAAAACTTAAGCTAACCTATGGATATCATCCCTATTGAAATCCAATGATCATTACCAGATAGAACAGCAGCTAAATAGCTATTGAAATAAAAGAGAACACAGGAGTATATAAAGCATGAGACGTAAGAACAAACTTCAGCTTTAATCCTCTATTGTATTTATTTAGAATGAAGTAGGAAAGTTTGCATTTAAATATAATTTATTCAGCGTATACATGCTAAAAGCTAAGCTGGTAACCTACACACTTGATTGCATGTTTAAATTGTTTAAGTTTCCCCAACATTGCTGGCATGCCCCACATTGTCTCACACAAACACAATGTTTTTACCACATGTAGTTTTGTGGGATTGGTCAACCTATCTTTAGCATATGATTTAAGTATTTCATTTAACATTATAATTGGATTTCTTTTCATTCTTAGCCTTTTTTCAGCCTTATCCACCAAAACTTTGTGGCTACTAACAAGTTTCTACCTTAGGTAACACACCTCCACAAGTCCTGCGGTATTGATTGTAGAGCCAATGGAAATGTTGTCTCATTTTGTGGGATGGGGAACAAGGGATGAAAATGTTGTGCAGTTCCACACAAAGTGGGTTAACGGGTTACCATATTTTTTTGTGCCTCCATCCAGTACGCATTTGCTCTGTGACTGACTGAAATGTTATTCAGAAAACAAGTCTTTGGCTTATTATATGCTTTGTTATTGTTGATAGGGTGCCATGGGAAATGCATTTTTAATTATAGCTTCCAATTAAAGCCATTGGCCCATGGGGTTATTAAAAGAAACGTCCCACTGACCTTGAAAGTTTTAGGACTTTAAAATGACAAAACAAAGCAAAAGACTCAGCAGATGACTTTGCAAGTACTAACTTGAAACATAATATGGCTTCCTAATCCATTAGTGGGGATACACCAGCCATACAGTATGAGGCAAATCCAGGATTTGAGGTTAATGTGACATTGTATTAAAATTGTGAGTTTTATAAAGAATTACAAAGGTCCCTGAATTTCAAATGTAGCTGAGTTTAAGTATGTTTGTCAATTTTACTGTCACTTTTCTTAATGAAACTGCTGTTTTACTGTTTGGGATAATTCATATCACCTGTACTTCTCTTCTTTTCATTGGAACACCTTCTAAAAGTACAGCTTTAACACGTGACAGATTGAAGTTTTACTTCTCTGCTATGTGGGGCAAGAAACGGCTAGGTTAATATTCAAATACCATTTGGAGCCTCTTGGATAGTTCCAATAGTTGTAAAGTGAATAATATTCCCCCTTTATCCACTCCAGAGTGGGTGAAATAAAAAAGTTTTATGGTTGAAGACACAAGCTGTGGCATTCAGCCCACTCACTCATACAGTATGCATGTTTTTCATATCAAAGAATATTAGCATGACTATCTTTTAGCCCATATGTCATGCACATCTCCATGTTCCTTTTTAAGTTTTTCTTTTTTTTATATTGACAACTTCTGGGTTTTTATGTTTTTGCTCCGAGCTTTTGTGAAACTTTCTTTCATCTTGTTTCTGTGTAGGAGGTTTTCAGAGAGCAGCGACAAAGGCTGGTTCCGATCCTTATTTGTGCACAAAGTCGATGCCAGGAAAGATGCTCACTCCAACCTGCTTTCAAAGAAGGAGACCAGCAACTTGTATAAGATTCAATGTAGGCCTACACCTTTTTACTTACATAAAAGCAAGGGTTTAGTTTCTTTAAGTGTTGGGTTACAGACGGCCAAAGACAAGTGCCTGCGATACACTTACATCACATTATTGTGACATGGCACCTGTATATGTCTCAAAAGTGAAATAAATCATTTAAATGGAAGGCCATATGACCTCAGAGAAAACTGAAAACAGCATGAGAGATGAAAATTGGAATCCTCTGCAACAGCTTATGCATACACAAAACACTGACAGCAACAAGTAATTCAAAGATAATATGATGTCTCATGCCTGTAAACTTTAGTGACATCTGAACAATTTGTCTGGTTTTCTTTTAGTCTGCAGAGGTAACGGTTTCTGTCTCTCGAACAGAAATCTATCACTCTCTTGGGGCTTTGATCTTTTGTGTTGCGTACATCACACTGCACAGGGATTTCAATTTGAACACTCTATCAGCCGTTGCCTATAACCTATTGCAAGTGAATCAGTTTTGTATATCAAGTCTTTGCTGAATCGGAGTGTGAAATTACTTTGTTGAAGAATTTGAATGTTGCTTTTATTTTTTTTATTTTTTTTAAATGCATCCATTTCTGATCGGTTTCTCTCTGCCTTTTTTCGTTTTCAGTTCATAACGTCAAACCAGAATGCCTAGAAGCATACAACAGTCTGGAGTATGTACTGATACATTTGAAATATTTCCTGCATCTCTGTCAGTCAAGTTACGTTTTCAGTGCTTTACTTTCTTTGGATTTCTTTCAGTAGTGCAATAGACAGTGTGCTGGACTAATTGATCAAGATATGGTCTGAACAAAGTTAAAATGAGATGAGCTTCATGATATAAATGTATTTAAAAAATGAAGTGAAGATACAGCTGAGTTTATATCTTGGATGGATTTTTATGCTTCCTGACTGCCCTCTAGTTGGTTTTTAAGCTAAAGTGAGAGCTAATTTCCAAACAGCAAACACCTTCATTAACTTGTATTTTATTTTATTAATTTTTTGCTGGCTTTAGGGCTGAAGTGCAGAAAAGACTTCACGAGGACCAGGACTACCCGTGTGAGGTAGTTGGAAGCTGGAATACCTGGTATGGAGAACAGGATCAGACTGGTAAGCAGTAAATGCAAAAAGACACCTTTGACTGATCGCTGCTGCTGCATGTAGATTGTTGGACATATTTTTCTTTCCTGTATCAAGTTCCCATAAAACACAATTTCAGTGGCTGACTTTTTGCAGAGCTTTGCAGACACACAGATGCTACCTGATGACTCACAACCAGCACTTCACCTTCTGCATATATGATAAATTAACGTGATCATTTAAGTGTATCGTATACATAAAAAGCAAACAGTAACTATAAAAAGTAATTGCATGGTGATGGAGGTTCTTTATCTCTTAGTTGTGTGGGTGGCATCAGACCTTATGCAGTGCTACAGTGACATCTGCTGTTGTTTTTCTGCAGTGCATCTGTGGCGATACAGAGGAGGCTACCCAGCTTTGACTGATTGTCTGCAGAAGTTGAAAGCTAACAAGGCATGCTGTGACCTTTTTAAACGTCTCTTATTCAGTCAACATTGCATACAATATATACAAGGCCTTTGATTTTCCTGGGGAAAATTGCTTATTTTGTTGTTTTAATTTGTTGGGTTTTTTTTGTTTGCTTGTTTTTTTTAAGTAAGAATTTTCTTTAAATGTTAATGTGTTGTTTCTGTGGAGAAAAGGCATTTCAGAGGTGCTGTTTTTTGTTTGTTTGATTTTTAAGATATAATATTAATATTCACTTTTTAGCGTTAAAAACAATCATTTTATCCCTTTTTAGGAGTACTTAGAGTTTCGGAAGGAAAGGGCCAAAATGTTGCTTTCAAGACGAAATGAACTTCTTCTGGAGTTCAGTTTCTGGAATGAACCCCTTCCCAGACAAGGACCAAACCTCTATGAAATGCGCACCTATTACCTTAAGGTATCTATTTATGCTACACATTTTTAAAATGCATAGCTTGAACATGTGTGACCAATACAACATAAATACTGTTTGATTTGTAGGAAAACTAACAAAGCAGTCTGTTTCTGGGTTTTCCTAACGTCACTTTTATCTCCAGTAAGCGAGCGAGCCTCTTCAATTTTATTTTTATACGTAGTCTTCCATTTCAGAAGCTCAAAAGTAATTGGACAGTTCATTGACGAGCAGTTTTATGATCAGCTGATTCCTGTTCCCATTTTATCCCAAAATAATGGGAGGATAAAATTGTAGAGAAGGAAAGACACAGCTCACCATCCAAATCATCCCACGTTGTCTGTCAAATATGGCGGAGGCAATTTTGCATATGGGCATGTAGGCCTGCTACATGCTAAAGCATGCTTTTTATCTATTGAAGATAGAACTGAAGACGGAGAGACCCAGAAACAAGAAGCAAATGAAGGTGACAGCAGGAAAGGCCTGGCAGAACATGACATCTGCTCTTTAGATATATCCTGATTACTTGATTTGAAATCTCCTGTGGTGATTTACAAAGGCAAAATTACAAAAAATATACACATCTGCATGTTGTATACTATTTTTAAGTGCATGGCAGGGTCCACATTTAGCAAAATCTAGATGTATTAGTGTACTGTTCATGTGCTGTTCAAACAGTAATAATATAACTTTGGTAATCCTGTATAACTGTCAGTACAGTGTTTATAAATTTGTTACATAACTAGCATAGTTCTTATTCTCGATGTTTTCTTTCCATATTTTTCAGCTGCGTGTCTTGAACAAGTAATCCAATTCTCATCTGTTTGAAGTAGTCATATTTTTTCACCTCTGGCCTATTCTACAATTTTGCCCTTCCAAGGTTTTCTGTGTAATTTCAGCTCACTTATTCAGACCTGACTCACTGAATTGAAGAGTGTCACAAGTGGAGAGAAGTTCAAAAACAGCTATGATAAAAATCTGTTTACTCAGTGCTCCAGTTCTTCTTGCATGCAGGCTTGTGACACCCAGAGTTCTCTGATCAGTTAAAAAAAAACAAACAACAAAATAAAACGTAGCTATGAATAATAGATAGTGCTTTCAGTTCTATGGAAATATGATGGTGGTAATGTCATAATCTAGTTTCAAACCTATTCTAATTAATATTATACTTGTGCTTCAGCCAGGAACCATGATTGAATGGGGCAATCGCTGGTGAGATACGTTGAATTTATTTGAACATATGTCATTTGTCTGAATCTCTTTCAGTGGAAGTGAAAATATCAGAAGTGTTTCAGTGATCTTTATACTAAATAAGATAATGTTTTGCAACAGGGCGAGGGCAATCAAACATAGACAAGAAAACAATGAGGCAGTAGGCGGTTTCTTCACACAGATTGGCCAACTCTATGTTGTTCATCACTTGTGGGGTGAGTAATTAAGCACTGTACACTTAGAACATGCCAGTAAGATGATGATTGGTCTGGCTGAATTTCAGCTAACTGAATGCTCCTGCATACGTTCTGTATTCTAATGAATTACTAAAGTTCAGTGTGACGGTTCCAACATAAGCCCGGGTGTGTCAAACATCAACAAAGGATGATTTTACACTCGACATAACATTTGGACTTTTGATTGCATCTTGGAACAGGAAGCATTATATTGCGAGTCAATCAAATTATTAAAGGTGTTTTAAGAGTGGTTGTCCATATTTTTAATATCATCTGAACTCTGGTTCAGATGATATTAAAAATATCAAGCCTCTGGGCTAGAATCATAAATTTCACAAATGTTTGAAGCCTGTATTATCTCAATGAAGTAAGGGCATTCAGACAAAGAGCTATGTCAGTGTGTTTCTTTAAAAT